AGTTAACGGAAAATGAAGTGAATGATTGAATGATTGCAAAAAGAAACTTATTGTAATGTTTATTAAACATAATGCAAAATACGTTGCAAAATCATTGAAATTGTTCAGCATTTGTTACTGTTGCTTTTGTTCTACATAATTATGGTTAGTGTCGATATTTTTGGTGACATCTATATGCATAATTTAATACAAATAGAAAACATTTTCTCAAATACCAAACATTTACGCATACATTCTTATTTATATATATATATATATATATATATATATATATATTGTGGTAAGAAAAGTCCAAATTTTTAAACAGTCACCACTACTGCTGATAATGCAAGACTCTTAAAACTAGATTGATTCCTCTAGATCACTGGCATGTTTACGATAAAGTAAATACGCAAAAATTCGCCTCTTTACCCATCCCGGGTGTCGATAACCTATGGGTTAGAATCGCCGCCTGATACCGGCTTGACTGACTGACTATCTATCTATCTATCTATCTATCTATCTATCTATCTATCTATCTCTCTCTATATATATATATATATATATGTGTGTGTGTGTGTGTGTGTGTGTGTGTGTGTGTGTGTGTGCTCTGTAATAAATAAAATAACATCTCTTCTGTGGATCAGTTTTAATATTTTATATTACTAGGTTTCACTTGGATCCCTTTCCACGGATTTTTACAAACACACACACACACACACACACACACACACATACATACATATATATATATATATATATATATATATATATATATATATATATAGTTGTTCAAACGATAGAAAAGTTTATATTTTAAAGAGAAAAATTAAACCGCAACATTTTTTCGGGTATAATGAGAATTTTTTCAAATATATATTACGCTTTAATTTACATATTTTTGCTACACGTGTTTCCGATCTCGCGATCCTCATCAGGCATAGAGTTGTTATTTCGACATATTATTAAAAGGAATTAATTTTCCTCATGTTCTTCAATGTTAAACCAATGACTTTTAAAATTAATCCCACTGCATTGGTTACCAAATTTTTCAACTACTAAACGAAGTGGACAAATACTGTCTTGTCTCTTTCGCTCACGCACACCAAGCCAGCACATACACGCAACATTCTGGCCACACTTAACACCTGCACGTACAAACAAACATATATGTTCGATATGCCATAACGTTGATCTTCAAAACGTAATCATCAAATCACGTTCGAGTATCGGCTGAGGTGGCTGATGCTTCATTAGAATTCATTGTGAAATAATAAATTTCATACAAGATCCCATCACGAGTTTTAACAAAAGATTTCTTGTCGCAATATGTCACTGACCGTTTTGCTGCTATAACCATTGTTAATCTCTGAAGCCAACATGTTGCTTATTATTATTTTTTTAGTTTGATTTTTTTTTCATCACAAACGGCGGTCATTAATATTTTCCTGTCTTTTTTTCTATTATCAATTAGCTATAATTGGTCCTTATGACATTTTTGAGCTGCAGTTCATAATATATTGCGTTTTACTTTTGAGGTAACCTCATCGTAACCATATCCATGACTTTTTCTCTGCGATGATTTCTATCTTCTTTTTAAACTATAAGGAGAATTCTCTTTTCTGACATTCTTTTTATGGCTTCCCACATTGTTACTGTGTTAGGCGTTCTTTTATCAATTTTCACACCAATAGTAACTAGTGGCTTCCGTTAGAAACTAAGTGACAGTAGATTTTCTTAAGTTTCCCACTGGCTTCATTTTCTAACTGATTTATTCATGCTGTCGTCTTGATAATTTCGAGTCTTCTGATAATCAACTCTTTCGTCCACCTTTGTAAGCTCTTCATGATAATAATGTTAAGTACAATTGTCCCTGTCATGTTTCACCATTTTTTAATATGCTCGCAACGTCTTGGTATTTTGCGGGTGTTTCGCTTTCTTTCCGATTTTCTGCGATCTGATGGCACAGTAACATCCATATTCATGAATTTCAAAATATTGAAATTCTTTTTTTATGTGACATGTCCCTTTAGGCCGTAATCGTTTATGACACTCCACATTTTCTTCTCCCAGTAATAAGTTTTGTCTTTTTGATATTTCTTCCAAATCCTGTTCTACCATCGATTTACTCAAGCTCATCAAGCTGCTTTCCCTCTGTCCCTCTTTCCCATAGTCTATCCTGTGAGTATCAGATTTTCCCAACAATCTTTCCTCATAACGTGCCTCAGAAATTTCAACTGCCTCTTCCTGATGTCAAGTATAATTTCCTTTTTGTTTTGCATTCTCTCGAAAACCTCGTTGTTGCTTACATGTTTGGCCCAAGGTATTCTCAGCGACTTTCTGTAGAACCACATTTCTGCTGCTTCAAATCTCTTCTTCATCTTTGAAGAGATTGTCCAGCATTCGCTGACGTACAAGAGGTAAATATCACGTAACTGTTCAGTACACTTTTTGCTTTTTTTTCCATCGAAATTTTTCTCTCTCTTAATATTCTGCTTAACTTTTGAAAAGCATTTTTTATCTATCCCAATGCGCCTTAGTATTTCAGTATCGCACTATCCGTCGTCTGTTAGAACCCTTCCCAGATATTTAAATTTCTGTACCTGCTTGATTTTAGTATCCTTGACATGTAATTTGCATTTTTGGCTCATCCATTTGACAATAAATATGCATTACCAAAATCCTACGAATAAGTTTCACTGAGATAATTAGAAAAATTCTAATGTCGGTAGTTAAATATAATATTTTCGTGAGGAAAATCTCAGTTGTATCCGAAGGACGAGACAGTATAAAAGACATTTTAAGTTGACGGCAAAATATTTTCGAACTATATCGATAATTATTGAGCAAGTGTACAGAAAATGATTGCAACAATAATCTAGAATATCTGCACCAAATTATTTTATAATGCAAATTCATTACAAACATTAATCACGCTTTCAATGCGGTGAGGCATATAGACCTGTTGGATTCCAGCAGAACTGTGAAGTCATTTCGATTCACTAAATGCCTTTATATCTTCTTCGAGTCTTTGAAGCCAATTTGGTGACAGTGAATGGTGTACACGAGAGCGACTCGGATTGAAAAAACAGTTCGAATTCAATCGAGTTCCTTACATTCACTTACGCCCCAATAATCTTGAAAAATATTATGAATCCATCCTCTCCTTCTAGCTATGGGTCAAATAGTAAGACTTGTATCTGGATAAAATCATTGTTATTCTCAATGAAATATTAATACAATATTCACTCGCAAAAAAGAATTATTTTAACAATCCAAAATATGTTTCGTTAATAAATAGTTCGCAAAGGGTTGATAAGCCGTAAAAATAAATCAAACAAATAGTGTTTTTGAAATCGCTCCAATTTATAATTACCTATATATTCTTAATAGGGTATAAATCTCAGGCTGTTATGTAGCCAGTCAAAGACTAGTCTATTTGTTTATTCTTGATATTCCTTGTGGTCAGGTCCGGATCAGGTCTGCAGCTTTAGGTTCCTCAAACTTTAGTTTAGTCTGTTTAAATTTTATATATTTTTGTAAAGCAGTGATTTTAATGTTCTAGATGTTATAACTTTTAAATAGTTTCATAAACTGAAATTATATCAATATGACAAACTCATATTTATTTTCATTGTTTCATTGTTATAATGCTGGTTATAATTTTTTTTCTAGATTTGTGTTGAAATGTGTGCTAATTTGTCTTGCAATAAACATTAAAATAGTGACACTTTTTTAAAGAATATTTTTATTGACAAACAAAAGATAGCTATTCTAATTTAATGAAAGAATTTGAAATAAGTATACTTCAAGCTATATAAATGTCGCTGAAATATATCATGATGAAAAAATATTGACGATGGGTGCAGGTAAGTTAAATGCAAATGTCAAATCTCCACAGTTCTTTGGAAAATAGTCCAAGTGTGACCGCACAAGGTGCAGTTTTACTGACATTCATGCCCCGGAAAACTCTTCAGTAGCTCTTCAATTTCCTTCTCGTATTCCTCACTCCGGTGGTTTCCCAGGACGTTTGTCACTGGGTACTGTTCTACGGAAAACAAATGCAGCCTGAAGTTTTCACGTAGGCGTGAGAATCTAGTAGTGTACTGGTCACGTGACTTTACCTGATGGTTATATCACCTTAATGCTATTCAATTTTCAGATGTTTCTATCATTCACACATTTTACTTCTAGGCTATCGCGATTATTTCAGGGAGTGTTCGAGCAATTTTACCCTTCCCTAGACTGCTTAACACAATGTTAATTAATAATTTTAATTCATATTTACAAATGAAGAATATAGATGCAGGTGACTATTAAAGTTTTCCATGGATATAATAAATATTAACATTTAGTAATAATAATTTGTATTTCTGGGACAGTGATTTATTTAGAACTCATTCATCTACACCCATTTCTATTTATATTCCAGTCATATTTCAGAGAAAAGACAGACATGTTTTGTAATGACAACTGGTCATTGAATATCATTATCTCTTACTGTGATGGGATAAAAGTAGCAAGAAAAAAGATAAAGAGAGAGATTTCATATGAATAAAAAATAAGCCACCGAAGGTATCGGCTTTATAGCAGTTTCATTATGCCATCTTTGGAACCACTCACAATTATCCTCCTTTCAAAATAATCTGCAAAATACTCCTTCGGTATTTATCCTCATACGTTCCCCTTAATTTCGTCCACGGTATGATATAATCACTTTTAATGGCAATTTTAGCCTTGAGAATGGTCAGAATACACATGGATACCTAATCTTAATATTAGTGGGCCTGACATACTTTGATGCTTTACCAAGGAAATTCTACAGGTCACAGGAAGAAGCAAGCATCATGTTAATGTGCTTGCATCGATCAAACAGTACACACTTTTAATCAATGGCATAACATGCCGCCTGAATAACACCATGGGATAGACTTATTGTTATTGGACTCACATCAAAATCCCACAATCGGGTATCAAGATGCTGACTAGAGCTGAATAATTTCTAGAGAGACCTTTTATACTTTTAAAAAATGATAGATAGATAGATAGATAGATAGATAGATAGATAGATAGATAGATATTTTTAAAATTGGTATCCCCCATGGAAGGCAGTAAAGCCACTAAAACACAAAAGGTTACAGGTTGCAGAAGAATTAGGAACAGAAACATTAATAATGAGCGGGGAGAGGAAAGATTAAACGGGAGGACAGCAGATAGCGATTGACATTGCATTTAAATTTTGCAGGTTAAAGTTGGCTGGAAAGCATGGAACAGTCAGTGACATGCACAAGCGAGAAGTGCGAGAAGAAGCTGTTAGCATAAAATCTAATGTTACATTTAGCCAGATTTTGACTGTGATAGACAGATAAGTACCATCTTGAAAGTAGAACTTGCTGTTCGAAACGCAAAACATATTCACTTGATAGAATATGATATTGTCTTCTTCGCGAAGTTGTTTCTGTTCTTCTGTTAGCTTAGCTTAGTAAATATTATGACTGGTCATTCTGAATGTTAATCTTTATGAGAAATTACATAAAAAAGATTGGTGCAACATAACCTTCTTATACATCTTTACCTGCATTTTCCTGCTTGTTGTACTATTCTAAGCATATTTCATTTTAGGCTTATTTTTCTCCGTCTTAGACATAGACATCTGAAGGATTCTGTAGTTTAATACTGAACAATAGCATTTGTTTCCCTGGACAAATATTTATTTTACAATATCATCTCTTTTGACGCTAATGTATTAAATTCAGTACCCCGAACGTTAATCACATACAATAATATATACAATATTCAGATCAAATTAAGCTCATAGCTTCGTGAAACTTTAAGCTTATTGATACACTTTCATTGACAAAGGCACATACGCTAATATATATATATATATATATATATATATTTATATATATATATATATATATATATATATATATGAATGGAATGAAAACGAAAATAATATAAATTCTAACGTTCACGCCATTAATTCGAAAAGAGGGCTCAATACCAAGAGTAGAGCAATAATTATTTATTATAATTTATATATACGGACAAAAACAACTTACTCACTACAAATATGCATTCTTGTTTCAATGCGGCTGCATCTCGACTGGTTTTAGGTTCTCACCAGTAGAGATGCAGCCGCATCAAAAACAAGAATGTATCTTTGTAGTGAGTAAGTTGCTTTTGTCCGTATGTAAAAAATTATATATATATATATATATATATATATATATATATATATATATATATATATGCAAGTTTCATTAAAAACAACTGTACGTATCTAGAGTTATAGGAATGTTTTATTTTACAAACATTTTCAACACATTGTGGCCGTGTTCATATTTGATATTATTGAGTGTTTGATTTTCTTTTTTATTAATGAGTTTTCAATATGTATATACATACATAAAACAATACATACATTCAGTTAAAAACGTATCCTTGATAAAAATGATGGCCGAAAGTTCTCGTACATATAAAACATTTGGACGATTTTTATATAATTTAAGATGGGAAAAGAATAAATTATAAGATCACATGAAAAAATAGATAAAAACTTAACCAAAATACCTTGTCAGTTGTTTTTAACGAAACTTGAATAAAAGAGAGATTGCTGCCGAAATACACAATTATATATATATATATATATATATATATATATATATGTATATATATATATGTGTGTGTGTGTGTGTGTGTGTGTGTGTGTAGAAAGAGAAATGAATACTGGGCGAAATAGAGAATTTAAGGGAAGATTTAGAAATGATGAGTAAAAGAAAATGAAAGAAAGAATAAAAGAAGACATGGAAAACATAAATCTATAAATAACATGAAACAAAGTAAGTTTGGAAAAAATCTCCAACTTATTTCCAAGTAACAGGCATACACGAGCCCAGAAAACTCACACTCTCCAATGATTTCCCATGATGCTTTCACAGAATGACATTCCCTTGCTTGCTGTAAGAATTGGCAGAGCTCATTTTTCTTGTTTTTCTTTCTTTACCAAGAAAATTTCACCTGACACTGCTTATAATAATACAAAACCACTAGCACAGTATTTAAAATGATGTTGTATGACATGACAGTAAATACTATACAAATAGACGAAGCACAACAGAAGAAAAATAGAAATATATAAGGGTCATATCTTGAGTAAAAGATGTACGCATTTACGATATCAATCGCCGAGGTTCGGTCGAAACTTTATCACCTGGTGCGACGTATGTTCGTCGGAGAAACAGATCACATTACAGAAGTCAGTTAAAATATAAACTGGCAATGAAATGCTGACACATAGTATGAATCCATAAATCGTATGTGTCAGCCAACACGACAGAGAGAGAGAGAGAGAGAGAGAGAGAGAGAGATAGAAAGAGGATGAGAAAAATCAAAAGGTGAACTAAACTGAGATACGTAACAAAATTATTTTCCGATTTTATTGCCGAGAATCGATGTTCAAGACATACTTCGTCATCATGTGTACATTCGCTGGGATGAACTCATTAACACCACAAACTTTGCCGCCTCTTCAACGCTTCGAAGATACGTCCGAATGTCTCTGTCTGTGTGTCTCTCTCTCCATCTATGTATCTCTCCACAATATATATAGACATATTTACATGCATAAAAAGTATGTAGATGATCTTAGAAAAGGTTGAAAGTATTTGGATAAAAAAAAAACTACAGCGCCTTCAAGAATCTGATTAGACAACTAGAAAGGATCAGTATAAAAATAAGTAGACTATGTGTCTATATTATTCAATGAAAGATATGCTGCTTATATATATCAAACTGCGCAGCGGGAAGTCACAAGGCTGTAATTTATGGTTTGCCTCTTAAAGAATGTATTCATTTTATTAGATTTAACTTAGATCCATTAAGAATGGATTCAAAGAAAGATGGCGATGCAATGCAATGTTTTAGGCGTGTGTTTATAGTAGGTGATAATGTTATTATGTTTTCGAACTATTTTCTGCTTAAAGAACTATACTATAATTAGGGTGAAATTAAATTAGTGAAATTAAAGTTATGGGCAGTGTCGTTTGGATGAAAAATGAGAGTTAGATGATTCTCTAAACGCAAGTCTCTCTTGTGTTCGTTAGTCTGTCTTGTGTAGTGTTAGAACATGGATCATACATAAAGTAGGGAGCTACTTTTCAATCACCCTGTACACGTACACATACACACGCACGCACGCACGCACATACACACACACACACACACACACACACACACACATATATATATATATATATATATATATATATATATATATATATATATATTATTTTATTGGTTACTATATCTTCTCCCTCACCCCTTACCCATCTATATCTAGAGATAACATACGTTAAGTTAAGCGGCGTCTAGCCTACACAGAGTGGGGTTAAATATAAGGAATTGAAAATGGTACATCTAACTCACTCATATCTTCTCTCCCACCTCACTTCCTCACTTCGTTAATTTTACATATGCTTGGCGCGGTCCGTCAAAAATGTGTAAGTTTCTTTTCATTTTTCATTTCAACTTTTGGAAGTAAAGTCTGATGATCCAGAGCCCTTTAAAAGGGTTGTGGTGAAATAACTTATTACATGGAACCTTAAAGTGGTCTGTTTTTATTCAAACATATTTGCTCTGAATTCACATTGAGCTCTCTGGATATCATCCTCCTTGGGTCTACCCATACGGATTACCTATAATAATGATATAAAATGGCAAAATCATTTCGGTAACTAAATTTTAAAGATGTATTAACCTACTGACCACTCAATGAATGTTATGATCTTTTTAAAAAAAAATTGGAACTGTATTAGGTCTTCCTTAAATGTGCAAGTACTTTTGACGTGTCCTCCGGTCATCATCAGGCATGGAATCTATTTTCTTTTTGGTAAAATTCAGGTAGCAACCGAGAGGAAAAAATATGCAAATCGAAATATGTCTGTTGAAATGTGTTATTGATAACAGATACAAACTTGTGGAGCGTGCAGTCGAAACGCTAAGGCTGAATTTTTGAAAAATTAAGTGATAGCGTTTTTTACTAATATGTCAATTTAAGAATTTTTTTGTTGGAAGATTTTATCAGTCAACGTGACATGAACGAAATAGTTCAATAAGTAGAGCAATGTCTCAGTTGTTATCCCGAAAATTTGCACGTCGGATCAGTTCTTTTAAATGAAATATGTGGTGCAGTTTAATTTATATTAAGATGAATCATTCATACAAAAAGTAAATTAGTAAAGTTAATAACATAAAATGGTTATTTTCTTTTAGTAAAACCCTTTTCTTTTTGATAAAATTCAAGTAGTATACGAGACGAAAACATATAATGCGAATCGAAATATATTTTCTGGAAATGTGTTATTGATAACAGATACAAATTTGTGGAGCGCGCCGACGCTAAGGTTGAATTTTTTATCCACTGGACCGAAACGTCATGAATATGCCAATGAAGATGAGAACAACAATCCGAACAAAGTATATAGTGTAAATACTTACAATATCTCATCTCAGAAATATAGACAGATCCCGAAGAAGGTCGGAGCGTACAACGACCGAAACGTCGTGAATATGGCAAAAATGATGAGGACAACAATCCGGAGAATATAAATAGTATATATACTTACAATATCTCATCTCAGAAATATAGACAGAATTTTTTATTAGCACAAAACCGTTGTGCAGTGATGAATTGTTTTCCACCATGTGACCCCTTTTCTCTTGCTAGCCTCTCGCTGCTTTCATGGCAGATGTTCGGTCGAAGTGTATTGCTTGGTTCCACAAGTCCAAACCTCTACCCCTAGGACCTGCCATGCCAAGTGCATAGAGCCGAAGCATTCTTATTCCCTTCATATACCAATGGAATTTTTACTCAGACATCTTACCCAGAACTATTGCATTATGGAATGGACTCCCAAAAGGATGCTTTCCCTATCACTAAAATTTTAACCCCTATAAGCCAAGAACTACACGTTATCTTTCCTGCGTAACCTCATAATATAAACCTCTTGCCCACCATCTTACTTGCAACAAATTCATTTAGTAACACTTTACTTTGTCTATCCCTTATCAGTTGAACTATGGTAAAATGACTCTAATAG